TTAAAGAGTCCTTCTCCTGATGATGTCAGGTGTATATCAGTATGTAGTGTCTCTACTTTAAAGAGTCCTCTCCTGCTGATGTTCAGGTGTATATCAGTATGTAGTGTCTCTACTTAAAGAGTCCTCTCCTGCTGATGTTCAGGTGCTATTATCAGTATGTAGTGTCTCTACTTTAAAGGAGTCCTCTCCTGCTGATGTCAGGTGGTATATCAGTATGTAGTGTCTCTACTTTAAAGAGTCCTCTCTGCTGATGTTCAGGTGTATATCAGTATGTAGTGTCTCTACTTTAAAGAGTCTCTCCTGCTGATGTTCAGGTGTATATCAGTATGTAGTGTCTCTACTTTAAAGAGTCCTCTCCTGCTGATGTTCAGGTGTATATCAGTATGTAGTGTCTCTACTTTAAAGAGTCCTCCTCCTGCTGATGTTAAGGTGTATATCAGTATGTGAATGTCCTCTACTTTAAGAGTCCTCTCCTGCTGATGTTCAGGTGTATATCAGTATGTAGTGTCTCTACTTTAAAGAGTCCTCTCCTGCTGATGTTTCAGGTGTATGTATCAGTATGTAGTGTCTCTACTTTAAAGAGTCCTCTCCTGCTGATGTTCAGGTGTATATCAGTATGTAGTGTCTCTACTTTAAAGAGTCCTCTCCTGCTGATGTTCAGGTGTATATCAGTATGTAGTGTCTCTACTTTAAAGAGTCCTCTCCTGCTGATGTTCAGGTGTATATCAGTATGTAGTGTCTCTACTTTAAAGAGTCCTCTCCTGCTGGATGTTCAGGTGTATATCAGTATGTAGTGTCTCTACTTTAAAGAGTCCTCTCCTGCTGATGTTCAGGTGTATATCAGTATGTAGTGTCTCTACTTTAAAGAGTCCTCTCCTGCTGATGTTCAGGTGTATATCAGTATGTAGTGTCTCTACTTTAAAGAGTCCTCTCCTGCTGATGTTCAGGTGTATATCAGTATGTAGTGTCTCTACTTTAAAGAGTCCTCTCCTGCTGGTGTTCAGGTGTATATCAGTATGTAGTGTCTCTACTTTAAAGAGTCCTCTCCTGCTGATGTTCAGGTGTATATCAGTATGTAGTGTCTCTACTTTAAAGAGTCCTCTCCTGCTGATGTTCAGGTGTATATCAGTATGTAGTGTCTCTACTTTAAAGAGTCCTCTCCTGCTGGTGTTCAGGTGTATATCAGTATGTAGTGTCTCTACTTTAAAGAGTCCTCTCCTGCTGATGTTCAGGTGTATATCAGTATGTAGTGTCTCTACTTTAAAGAGTCCTCTCCTGCTGGTGTTCAGGTGTATATCAGTATGTAGTGTCTCTACTTTAAAGAGTCCTCTCCTGCTGGTGTTCAGGTGTATATCAGTATGTAGTGTCTCTACTTTAAAGAGTCCTCTCCTGCTGATGTTCAGGTGTATATCAGTATGTAGTGTCTCTACTTTAAAGAGTCCTCTCCTGCTGATGTTCAGGTGTATATCAGTATGTAGTGTCTCTACTTTAAAGAGTCCTCTCCTGCTGGATGTTCAGGTGTATATCAGTATGTAGTGTCTCTACTTTAAAGAGTCCTCTCCTGCTGATGTTCAGGTGTATATCAGTATGTAGTGTCTCTACTTTAAAGAGTCCTCTCCTGCTGGTGTTCAGGTGTATATCAGTATGTAGTGTCTCTACTTTAAAGAGTCCTCTCCTGCTGATGTTCAGGTGTATATCAGTATGTAGTGTCTCTACTTTAAAGAGTCCTCTCCTGCTGATGTTCAGGTGTATATCAGCATGTAGTGTCTCTACTTTAAAGAGTCCTCTCCTGCTGATGTTCAGGTGTATATCAGTATGTAGTGTCTCTACTTTAAAGAGTCCTCTCCTGCTGATGTTCAGGTGTATATCAGTATGTAGTGTCTCTACTTTAAAGAGTCCTCTCCTGCTGATGTTCAGGTGTATATCAGTATGTAGTGTCTCTACTTTAAAGAGTCCTCTCCTGCTGATGTTCAGGTGTATATCAGTATGTAGTGTCTCTACTTTAAAGAGTCCTCTCCTGCTGGTGTTCAGGTGTATATCAGTATGTAGTGTCTCTACTTTAAAGAGTCCTCTCCTGCTGATGTTCAGGTGTATATCAAGTATGTAGTGTCTCTACTTTAAAGAGTCCTCTCCTGCTGATGTTCAGGTGTATATCAGTATGTAGTGTCTCTACTTTAAAGAGTCCTCTCCTGCTGATGTTCAGGTGTATATCAGTATGTAGTGTCTCTACTTTAAAGAGTCCTCTCCTGCTGGTGTTCAGGTGTATATCAGTATGTAGTGTCTCTACTTTAAAGAGTCCTCTCCTGCTGATGTTCAGGTGTATATCAGTATGTAGTGTCTCTACTTTAAAGAGTCCTCTCCTGCTGATGTTCAGGTGTATATCAGTATGTAGTGTCTCTACTTTAAAGAGTCCTCTCCTGCTGGATGTTCAGGTGTATATCAGTATGTAGTGTCTCTACTTTAAAGAGTCCTCTCCTGCTGATGTTCAGGTGTATATCAGTATGTAGTGTCTCTACTTTAAAGAGTCCTCTCCTGCTGGTGTTCAGGTGTATATCAGTATGTAGTGTCTCTACTTTAAAGAGTCCTCTCCTGCTGGATGTTCAGGTGTATATCAGTATGTAGTGTCTCTACTTTAAAGAGTCCTCTCCTGCTGATGTTCAGGTGTATATCAGTATGTAGTGTCTCTACTTTAAAGAGTCCTCTCCTGCTGATGTTCAGGTGTATATCAGTATGTAGTGTCTCTACTTTAAAGAGTCCTCTCCTGCTGATGTTCAGGTGTATATCAGTATGTAGTGTCTCTACTTTAAAGAGTCCTCTCCTGCTGTGTTCAGGTGTATATCAGTATGTAGTGTCTCTACTTTAAAGAGTCCTCTCCTGCTGATGTTCAGGTGTATATCAGTATGTAGTGTCTCTACTTTAAAGAGTCCTCTCCTGCTGATGTTCAGGTGTATATCAGTATGTAGTGTCTCTACTTTAAAGAGTCCTCTCCTGCTGATGTTCAGGTGTATATCAGTATGTAGTGTCTCTACTTTAAAGAGTCCTCTCCTGCTGATGTTCAGGTGTATATCAGTATGTAGTGTCTCTACTTTAAAGAGTCCTCTCCTGCTGATGTTCAGGTGTATATCAGTATGTAGTGTCTCTACTTTAAAGAGTCCTCTCCTGCTGATGTTCAGGTGTATATCAGTATGTAGTGTCTCTACTTTAAAGAGTCCTCTCCTGCTGATGTTCAGGTGTATATCAGTATGTAGTGTCTCTACTTTAAAGAGTCCTCTCCTGCTGATGTTCAGTGTATATCAGTATGTAGTGTCTCTACTTTAAAGAGTCCTCTCCTGCTGATGTTCAGGTGTATATCAGTATGTAGTGTCTCTACTTTAAAGAGTCCTCTCCTGCTGATGTTCAGGTGTATATCAGTATGTAGTGTCTCTACTTTAAAGAGTCCTCTCCTGCTGATGTTCAGGTGTATATCAGTATGTAGTGTCTCTACTTTAAAGAGTCCTCTCCTGCTGATGTTCAGGTGTATATCAGTATGTAGTGTCTCTACTTTAAAGAGTCCTCTCCTGCTGATGTTCAGGTGTATATCAGTATGTAGTGTCTCTACTTTAAAGAGTCCTCTCCTGCTGGATGTTCAGGTGTATATCAGTATGTAGTGTCTCTACTTTAAAGAGTCCTCTCCTGCTGGATGTTCAGGTGTATATCAGTATGTAGTGTCTCTACTTTAAAGAGTCCTCTCCTGCTGATGTTCAGGTGTATATCAGTATGTAGTGTCTCTACTTTAAAGAGTCCTCTCCTGCTGATGTTCAGGTGTATATCAGTATGTAGTGTCTCTACTTTAAAGAGTCCTCTCCTGCTGATGTTCAGGTGTATATCAGTATGTAGTGTCTCTACTTTAAAGAGTCCTCTCCTGCTGATGTTCAGGTGTATATCAGTATGTAGTGTCTCTACTTTAAAGAGTCCTCTCCTGCTGATGTTCAGGTGTATATCAGTATGTAGTGTCTCTACTTTAAAGAGTCCTCTCCTGCTGATGTTCAGGTGTATATCAGTATGTAGTGTCTCTACTTTAAAGAGTCCTCTCCTGCTGATGTTCAGGTGTATATCAGTATGTAGTGTCTCTACTTTAAAGAGTCCTCTCCTGCTGATGTTCAGGTGTATATCAGTATGTAGTGTCTCTACTTTAAAGAGTCCTCTCCTGCTGATGTTCAGGTGTATATCAGTATGTAGTGCTCTCTACTTTAAAGAGTCCTCTCCTGCTGATGTTCAGGTGTATATCAGTATGTAGTGTCTCTACTTTAAAGAGTCCTCTCCTGCTGATGTTCAGGTGTATATCAGTATGTAGTGTCTCTACTTTAAAGAGTCCTCTCCTGCTGATGTTCAGGTGTATATCAGTATGTAGTGTCTCTACTTTAAAGAGTCCTCTCCTGCTGGATGTTCAGGTGTATATCAGTATGTAGTGTCTCTACTTTAAAGAGTCCTCTCCTGCTGATATTCAGGTGTATATCAGTATGTAGTGTCTCTACTTTAAAGAGTCCTCTCCTGCTGATGTTCAGGTGTATATCAGTATGTAGTGCCTCTACTTTAAAGAGTCCTCTCCTGCTGGTGTTCAGGTGTATATCAGTATGTAGTGTCTCTACTTTAAAGAGTCCTCTCCTGCTGATGTTCAGGTGTATATCAGTATGTAGTGTCTCGACATGTCTCCATGCTTTAATGTTCAAAAAGCTCTTTATTTCTCTCATACTGTCTGTGCTGCAGCAACTCTTTTCACCCTCTGTCTGAAACCAGAGCCCAGTCTGCTCTGATTGGTTAGGTGGCCGGCTCTGTTGTGATTGGTCAACCGCTTAGAGATTTCCCGCCCCTTTAGCCTATCATGTACAATGTGTTGGAGCGCTAGCCAATAGGAGCACGAGTGTTACATAGTGATGTCACCTAAACATGATATGAAGATGTTTGCACAGTATTTGAAAACATTACATATTAGAGCAGATTAATAAATCCAAGACGGTCACCTCCTCTCCATAATGGCGACCGGATGCTTCCATGTCGAGCTCTTCCACTTCCCTTCTGGTTCCACGGCTTCTTTCCTCCGCCTCTGACCTCCCCCCTCACCTTAGTGTGTGCGTGGCTCTGAGGGAACAGAACAGCTGTTAGTGAGAGGCTCTGTGTGAGGTCTGTTCTCATTCAAAATGAACAATCAAAACAAGTGAATCTGTGACTTACGACTCTTTTAAAGTTTTTCTGCCATGTTTCAACCTGATAGAGAATATCGAGCCTGAGGAGAGAAAAACAAACTCAATGTCTGTATAATAATGAAAATCTGTGGAGGACAGTAATAACTAAATGTGTAATGATAAATGACTGTGATAATATGCCTTTTAATTACAATAAAGCGTACAGAGTTCTTTTTACTTGACACAGGAAACTAATGAGGACACATGTCTGACAGGGAACTAAGGGAAGGAGCTGAACATTCCCTCCTGAGGAAACGTTGGATTTCAAAGCCTTTAAAGCAATAATAGGTGAGTTCTACCTGGGATGCACGGCGAAGACGTCGGGGTGGAGCTCAGTGAGACCCAGCGGCTCGGCGTCTAGACGCTCCAGGGTCTCCACCCACGTCTGCAGGGGCCTCAGGTGAGCAGGGACCACAGCATCACACCTGCTGAGGAGAGGGAGGGGCGAGTCTGAGGGGGGGGGGGCGCGCCCTGCAGGAGGAAACAACACCGTCAGAGAAACACATCAACAGAAAGTAGAAAGAAAGTGAGCTCAAAGAAAACTCCTAAAAAGTTAGCGATGATTGAGTCAGAGCGATAAAGACCTCCTAGAAAAGACAATATAAACTTAACTAATGTGCATTTTAAGAAAGAGGGATAGTTTTGGCGAAGACTAAAAGGTACCTGGGTCAGATTAGAATTTCCCAAAGGGGGGTTCGTTTAGCATCAAACACTTGAAATAACTAAAGGAGAAGTTAAGAAAGAAAGTAGAAAGAAAGTGAGGTCAAAGAAAACTATTGATTGAGAGTCAGAGCTCAACATTTCAGATGTGTGTATCTCACACTGCTCTGTGGCTTTTACTCATGTTCCTTTGCTTTTAAATGAGTGTTTTTAAATGTCATTTCATAATATGTTCCTTAATGTCTCATTTTTGCAAAGCACTTTGAATTGCCTTGTGTTGAAAGGTGCTGTATAAATAAACTTGTCTTGCCTTAACACGAGACGCAGACAGTCAATAATAATAAAATGAGATTTAGGAGCAGAGAAATCAGGGTGGTGTCAAGGAGTTTTTCAAGTGTGTGAGTCCTGCAGTTTGCTCGTGCACACAGACAGTCTATTATAACAAGATGAAGCAGAGACATCAGGGTGCTGTGAAGGAGTTCAACTTAAGTGTGTGAGTCCTGCAGTTTGCTTGTGGCTTAAAGATGAAAGGGAAACGTGTGTGCATTTCCTTGTTGTTGTTGTTGTCCTATAATGTGTCTATTATTGTTCCGTTGTTTATACTGTTATTCTAGTGATAGATCACATCCCTCCAGTTGTTAAGTCTTTCCACTGGTTTCCTGTTTGTCAACGAATTGACTTTAAAATACTGCCGCTGGTTTATAAAGCACTGAATGGTTCAGGACCAAAATACATGTCTGGTCTTCTGCTCCATGATGAACCGTCCAGATCTCTCAGGTCGTCTGTGACGGGTCTGCTGAGTCAGATCTTAACATGGAAAGCATGTCACCTACTTTTCTTTACATGCATTTAGTTGTGTAATGTGTTCCTTTTGCACGATGTGTGATCTGAATCTTCTCAGCACTGGCTTATGTGTGCAAATGAGCCATATAAATGACATGTCCTTGCTTTAGAGCTGGGGTGTCAAACTCAATTTCATCACGGACCACATTCGCATAAAGGTTGCACTCAAAGGGCCGGTTGTAACTATATAAATATATAATATATATAAAATAATGTATTATATTACATTATTGCCTCTGAATTGGATTATTATCGGATAGGATAATAACTTAGTAATTAACTACGTCTGAAAGCAGAAGTCCAGGGCAAATAATTGCAAGTCTCTTCAGTGCGCATGTCACAAAACGAGATGCATTGTGGGACATGTAGTTTATGGGCAACCTGCTTCTGTAAAGTGGCATGTAACCGGTATAATAAACTTATTATATTCTTTGCAAGCTCTTGCGGGGCCACATAAAATGAAGTCGCGGGCCGGATTTGGCCCCCGGGCCTTGAGTTTGAGACCCTTGCTTTAGAGAGTAATGGATGTGCTATGTCTATTGGTTAGGGCTGTCCCTGACTATAAATATTCTTAGTAGTTCGTTGTATTCACAGAAGTCTGACTTACTTAGCCTGGCAGGATCCACCAGGTTGGTGGGCAGCAGCAGGTTGGGAGGCAGAGCGCTCTCACTGGAGAACGACGAGGCGAACTGAGGACCAGAAAACTCAGAGTTAGTGACTTTAATAACACACGTACGTAAAAGGCTGATCTGTTAACATTTAGCAGGTAATGTAACCTTCCTATATACATGTTTCACAACAAAGGTAAGACCTCGTGTCAGTCAGCACTTACATCTGAATAAGTATTTAAGACACCAATATATTTGATAAAGTTTGACATAATATTTAATTAACGATAAAATGGAACATTTAATAAGCTGATGCCATATTTAATAAATGCCTTTATAAATAACCTGAATATAAATAATCAAGTGGTTAGTTTACAAAGAAATCTGCAACCATTTAGTTAAGTGATAGATCGGAATCAGAATCAAGTGTTTGGCCAGGTACGTTTAGTGTTTCTCAAACTTTTTCATACCAAGGACACTTAACCAATAAAATAACACTCGCGGACCACCTAACTCCACAAATATCCAAAATCGCATCGTTTTTCTAGAACAGATTACAAATCGCCTGAAAATGGTACAAACAAGTGGCGACATGTGTGATGAAGGTGTTGCGCTGGGCTATATCATGCCATCGAAAGTGAAACTTAACCTCGCTCCATTGCGGAGATATTCCCGCGAGAGTGCGGAAAACTCAAATGTATTTATTTATTTCAAATGTGAAATGTTACCAATATACTCGCGGACCACTAGGGGGCGCTCACGGACCACCAGTGGTCCGCGGACCACACTTTGAGAAGCACACACAAAAAAGGAATGTGTTGTTTATGGTGGTGCAAAAATAAACATACTAAGAACATAACTTGTAAGAGAAGGTAAAACAAACCGATATAATATATATATATTTTTTTAAATTAACAAACTTAGGACAATGAATATATGACAATATATTACTAAATACAGCAGAAGTGTAAAGTAACTTAGTACACATACAAGTACTGTACTTCATTTCTATTTCTTGCTACTTTGTATTTCTACTCCACTACAATTCAGAGGTAAATGGTGTACCTTTTCTCCACTACATTCATAGATATGAAAAATATAATACACTGTACCAGAGAAGTACTCAAGTACAAAATCTGAATACTTCTCTGGTAGCCTACAGTGTATTATATTTCTAAGTGAAGCGCTGTGCAGATGACAGCAATAGTAGTTATACTGTTGTTTAGCTCGGTTCAAATAACTATTTTCTGAAGGACAGAATAAAAGCAATAATATAAAGCTGATTGCATGTGCTTGGAAGGCAGTGCAGGTGCATCAGATGTACACAGACTGGATGTAAACCGTCTCAGTGTTGCAGGTTAAATGTTAAGCTCACCCTTTTAGCGGCTCCTCTTCCACAAAACACCACCGAGCACCGAAACATGTCCGCTCTGTTGTTCACTGTCACACAAACACACCTTAGTTACTCTTAAAGCATTTTAAATACACATTAGATAAACAGAATCCGGCTGTTAGCAGCATGAAAGGTCGTGGTGCTTTCCGTGAGTGTGTTGGCGCTTATTGATGACGTAGATCCATGTAGCTCAGGCACAGATGCGACACCTAGCGGCTGGAGGGGGGAGTTGTATTTTGTATTTATTCAAGAACGTTTGAACATCATTTATTTTTGCTGAGTCGGGAGAAGTACTCCGATCTTGTACTTGAGTAAATGTAGAAGTACTCAGGTCTTGTGCTTGAGTAAAAGCAGAAGTACTCCGATCTTGTACTTGAGTAAATGTAGAAGTACCCAGGTCTTACTTGAGTAAAAGTAAAAGTACCCAGGTCTTGTACTTGAGTAAACGTAGAAGTACTCAGATCTTGTACTTGAGTAAAAGTAAAAGTACCCAGGTCTTGTACTTGAGTAAACGTAGAAGTACTCAGATCTTGTACTTGAGTAAAAGTAGAAGTACTCAGATCTTGTACTTGAGTAAAAGTAGAAGTACTCAGATCTTGTACTTGAGTAAAAGTAGTAGTACTCAGGTCATGTACTTGAGTAAAAGTAGAAGTACTCATATCTTGTACTTGAGTAAAAGTAGAAGTACTCAGATCTTGTAGTAAAAGTAGAAATAATCAGATCTTGTACATGAGTCAAAGTAGAAGTATTCAGATCTTGTACTCAAGTCAAAGTAGAAGTACTCAGATCTTGTACTTGAGTAAAAGTAGAAGTACCAGAGTGTAGGAATACTCTGTTTCAGTAAAAGTCCTGCATTCAAAATGTTCCTCAAGTGAAAGTATAAAAGTATTATCATCAAAATATAGTGAAAGTAGCGACAGTAAAAGTAGTCGTTGTGCAGATTGGTCCATTTCAGAATAATATCTATGATATGTTTTATAATGATTGATCATGAAAGTGTTCTCAAAGCTGGTAAAGGAGCAGCTAGTTTGAATGACTTTGTATACTGCAGGGTAGCTGGTGGATTTACTCCAGGTGGAACTAAAGTCTGATTCAACACTTGATTAGATTTCACATCATTCATCCACATCTGTGAAGTAACTAAAGGACTTCCAGATTGAAATAAAAAATATTACCAGGCTTGATTGATTGATTGATTGATTGAAAAGTTTATTAACAGCTTGTATATTGGGTACAGTACAGTACAGCTCAAAACATACAATTGTTAAGGGGATGCAGACCAGAGAAAGACTTTCGTCTTGTTTACATCAGGGTCCCCCATTTCCAATTCATCATATCATTTAAGACATATAAGACATATTTGACATACAGATGGCTTATTTACAATTTACATACAGGTGGTTGTTTTACATACAGATTGCTTGTTTACAATTTTCATTTTAGATTTCGTTCTAATACATCCTAACCGGACATTTAAGACATACCAAGTCTACAGATATACAGTTAGTAACAGAGTCTAAAATGTGAGTATATACATAGATGGGGGGGGGGGGGGGGGGGGGGGAAGCTGTCCATTGAACGACAGGTTGAGATTTGTACCATTACCGGGGCCAGTTCTGCAATGCTCTCCCCCGAAGGTGCTCTTTAAGAGAGGTTTTGAAGGTAAGTATAGTTTTACTTTCCTTTGCAGTTGTGGGAAGAGCGTTCCACCTTGATGTGGCATAATTGCGAAACGTGTATTCCCCCTTTTTTGTGCCAAATCTGGGTTTCACATGATTTGTGGAGCTCCCTCTGGTGTTATGATCATGGTATTCCTTGACCTTTGGGAAGAATTTTGACATGTACATGGGTACCATAGAGGTGTAGTGGATCTTGTAGACCAGGCCCATTGCAAGTAGCTGTACTCTGTCGTCTACTCTAAGCCATCCTAGGTTGTCAAAGTGGGCAGAGGTGAGGTGGGTTCTAGATGAAAGGTCAAGCAGTAGTCTGACCAGTTTATTTTGCGATGTTTGAAGTTTTATTTTTAGCGCCTTGGAGGTGCTATGGTACCATGACGTGCAAGCATAGTCATAGTACCCTTGAATGAGTGCTCCTGCCAGAGTTTTCAGGGTGTTTTTGTTTACCAGAGAGGAGATCCGGTATAGGAATCTAGTTCTTTGATTGACTTTTTTTATTACATTGGATGCCATTTTGTCACAGGAGAGGTTTGCCTCAAGAATAGATCCTAGGTATGTAATTTCCTTCTTACTTGTGACAATAATGTCGCCCACTGCAACTGAGAAGTCGTCGGATTTGCTGAGATTATGTTTCGAACCGAAGAGAATGGACTCTGTTTTACCCAGGTGTAATGATAATTTATTATCGGCGAGCCAGGTGCAGATTCTGCCGAGCTCGAAGCTGAGGGTTTTTTCCAACCTGCAACCTGTTCCTGTCAGAGACCAGCAGGGCTGAGTCGTCCGCGAACAGGAACAAGTTGCAGTCACATGCTGATGACATGTCATTTACATAAATTAGGAACAGTAACGGACCTAATATGCTTCCTTGTGGAACACCACAGCTCACTGGGAGGGGAGGGGACAGAGTACCGTTTACCTCCACCATCTGTTCTCTCCCCTCCAGGTAGGATTGCATCCAGCTCACCGATAGTTTATCAAAACCAATAGCTTTTAGCTTGTCAATCAGAATGGGGTGATTGACAGTGTCGAAAGCCTTTTGTAGGTCCAGCATCACCATGCCGCAGTACTTGCCCTCGTCCACCTCTTGTTTGATGTGGTCGCTCAAATAAAGAAGGCATGTGTCAGTGGAGTGGGATGTTCTAAAGCCAGATTGAAATTCATAGATTAGTTTCTTTTCCGCGAGGTACTTTTCGACCTGTTCATATACTATTTTTTCCATGACTTTCGAGATGGAGGTAAGTATAGAAACAGGGCGGTAGTTGCCTGGGTCCAATTTGCTGCCCTTTTTGTGCAGGGGGGTTACTCTTGCAATTTTGAAGTCTTTGGGTACTTTTCCCTGTTTTATGGAGAGGTTAATTATGTGAGCTATGACTGGTGAGATGGCGGTTGCTGAGTCTCTGAGGAATTTGGAGGGGATATTGTCGTGGCCAGTGGCCTTGTTAGGTTGGAGGGCGCTCAGTTTAATGAGTACCTCTGCTGTTGTTACCCTTGCTAGACTTGTTGTGGTGGTGGTGGGGGGGAGGGAGGCTCCGTTGTAGCTTTAGCTGTTGATATGCTAGCAGGGTGGCTAACAACATGGCGGATATTTGTTCCCTCGGATCTCGGTTCTCTTCCTCTCGTCACTGCCTCATGCGTGTCTGTCTGCCGAGGCGTCCCCGGGGGAATCTCGAAGTCTCCGTTTATTCCTTGGTGTCCGCTGTCTCCACGGTCTCTGTTGTCGTCGCGTAGTTGATGTTGCAGTTTAAGATTTTTGGATAATCCATTTGCTCAAAACACATGTTATTCGAGCTCAAAGACAATATTTAAATGTTATTATGAGTCCTTCAACAAGCTCACCATTTTGTTTCTGTTTTGGTGTATCTTCCTGCATATGATAAACTCAAATATATTAATGTCACTGTAAATTGAGTTTGTCCTTTGCAGAGTCTCTTCCTCAATCTTTTCAAACAGTTTATATAAAGCTTTGTAAGGCAAGGCAAGTTTATTAATATATAGCACCTTTCAACACAAGGCCATTCAATGTGCTTTACAACAATGAAAAGACATCAAGAATTAGTGCAGCGGAAACACATGGCAAAAATGGCATTTAAAAAGCAAAGATAATAAAAATAACAGGTATAAAATACATGAATAAAAGCTCCAGTGCAGTGTGAGATATGAATAGTTATATAAAAGTGAGTGAGACCTGTAAAGACACCATTATCCAGTCGACTGAAGATAAAAGCATGGACAAGTTTTTCCAAATCCTGCTGTGACATTAGTCCTTTAATCCTAATTATATTCTTCAGGCAATATAGGCGGACTTAGTAAGTGTTCAAATGTGACTCCTCTCGTTTTCCCCTAACCACGATTCCTGGACTTCTGTGTGAAACATCAAGGGGTTAAGGAATAGTGGATAGGAAACTTGAAGAAAACAGAATCATATAAGTACATCAGGTTTCATAGAGCCAAACATTTCAAGTGCTACTCAACAGGCTTTCGATAAGCCAGTCCTTTATTAGTATATAAGTGCTTTGTTAATAGTTCTATCGCTCGAAGTGGAGTCGAAAGAGATGAGTTTTCAGTCTGCGCCGGAAGGTGTGTAAGCTTTCTGCTGTCCTGATGTCAATGGGGAGCTCATTCCTCCATTTTGGAGCCAGGATAGCAAACCCACGTGTTTTTGCTGATGGGAACTTGGGTCCCCCTCGCAGCGAGGGTGCAGCGAGCTGTTTGGCTGATGCAGAGCGTAGTGCACGCGCTGGGGTGTACGGTTTAACCATGTCCTGGATGTAGGAAGGGCCAGATCCATTCCCAGCATGGTACGCAAGTACCATTGTCTTGAAGTGGATTCTAGCAGTTACCGGAAGCCGGAGGAGCGGCGTGGTGTGGGAGAATTTGTATATTATATTATTATATATTATATTATTATTATAGTCTATTATCAATTTAGGTTAAGAAACTAGCGTTGCTTGCATCCTATTTTAAAAGGCATTTATTTTTATTCTCTACTAAAATGCAACAAAAAAGGGTTTGATTCTATTAATGTTGTCTTTTTTATTGCACGTTGGCAGCAGATTCCTGAGTAGCTTCAGATCTGAGTTGTCTTATTAGTAAGCCTAATTTATACTTTTGTAGCAACACTATTTTTATATAATGACAAAGAAAGGGTTCAGAGTCTTTTCTTTTTTCCCTGTGTCATATGTGGCAGCACTGTTCAATGTTTCTTGAAAACATGACCCACTGTAGTGACGTGTGAATAAACACCAACTCTGTATCAACAACACTGTTGTGTAACTTCAGTTAAATACTTGTATGTGTGTAGATTAGAAAGAGGTAAGATAAAGGATCGGCAGTATTTTATGGAGTATTAATCGTACAAAGGTCAGTTTTATACAAGTAGAAGTGTGTATTTACCTGGTAGTAGGCTGTCAGTAATGGCTACGTCTCTCTATTTGGACTGGTAGATCTCGGCAGACTGGCAACTTTAAAAGTAGCTCTCGGTTCAAAAAAGG